AGTATGTCATAATAAATTGTTTATTTTTGATGCTTCTGCTTTTTAATTGCACATCCTTTTTTATCTGGCCTTTCAGGGAGAAATAGTTCTTGACAAGTTCATGTATTTCTCCCAATATGAAAATTAAAGTTTTTAAAGCAATGTTACTCTACTGATTATGATGAAAAGTCATAATTATGATGAAAAGTCTTTGTTCCCATTGTGGCCATCACCTTACAATAGATAAAATAGCTAAGAGAAGTTGTTATTTCATCCAGAATTAGTCTTTAAATAACACCCTATCCTCCTCTCTCCTCTTGGGATAATTTTCAGTGTTATCATATTTGAATGACTGTTGTGTTCCCTCGTGTGGGTTTAGCTAATAAGCATTCCAAAATATATCAAAAGTGTGTGGGAGAGGAGCAGTCGTGGGTTTCAATTTTTTTTAGAACCTCTTCTGTAGGTGTGGCCTGCTTTGTGGGAGTGGCTTGCTAGCAATGTGACCAGGTGAGAGTGGCTTGCCAGCCATGTGATAGTGTGGGTGTGGCCAACTTGTAAAATGTGGTGAAATTCACTTAACAACGCTCTTGCTTAGCAACTAAAATGTTGGCTCAGAAAGTCTGGCATTTGAAGCATGCAAGTCTTAAAGCTGTCAAGTTACAAGACTCTTGCACCTCTAACCCTTTAGAAAAAAAACTCCAGGGGTGTTCAAACTTGACAGCTTTAAGACTTGTGGACTTTAACTCCCAGAATTCTTCCTCTTGCTCTTCATCTGGATGATGTGCGGACGGGCGGAGAGAGGGAGCTGGAACTGGTTCTAAATGGCACTGTAGATTTGTGGAACCTCTTTTATAGAAGAGGTTAGAATTGGCAGGAACCCAGCCCTGGAGAGGAGTAAAGGAGACGAACAGAGCTCCATTGTACATAATACAGGTAGTCCTCAACTTACAACCACAACTTAACCTCAAATTTCAGTTGCTAAGTGAGACATTTGTTAAATGAACTTTGTCCCATTTTACAATGTTTCTTGCCACAGTTGTTAAGGGAATCCCTGCAGTTCTTAAATTAGTAACACCGTTGTTAAGTGATTCTGGCTCCTCTATTGACTTTGCTTGTGAGACGGTCATAAAAGGGAGCCCAGGGACTACAAAGGTCATAAATATGAACCAGTTGCCAAGCATCTGAATTTTGCTCATGTGATCATGGGGATGCTGCAATGGTTGTAAATGTGAAAAACGGTCATAACTCACTTTTCCCGGTGCCGTTGTAACGTTGAACGGTCACTAAGTGAACTGTTGTAAGTCGATGACTACCTGTAGTTTTCCTGTTCCTGACAGATAAAAAATTTCTTAAATAAAGGATGAACACCTAGAGGACGGGATTAAGCAGAATGGAGTAGTTCTCAGGAATGCTTTAATATTGCATTTCCTACATCCAGCAAGGAGCCATCCTAATTGGTATCCAAAACCCTATTTTAGATTTTTTTTTTGCATGGATATTCTTCTAAGCTATGACACCTCAAATAGCAGAACATCTGCGAGGTAACTGACATTCCCCTCAAATTTGCTTTTCTAAAATCCCTCTGCTGCAGTCACAGCATGTTAGTATGAAATGCATAATAGCAATTTTTTGCTGTCTTATTACTAGGCTTTGCCCAGTCAATTATCTCCTTTCTTCCTGGAAGAATTAATAAAACATGAAACAAGCAAGCAAACAAAGAAACAACAACAATAGTGGTAGCTAACTGCCAATGCAATAAAGACTAACACGCCAGCTGTAGAAGAAAAGGATCCATACATTTCTGTTAATTGTTATGTTGGCCTGGAATAGACCATGATTAATGCTAAATTTGATTTAAAACATGGGTGTCAAACTCGATCGTGTCATGTGACTTATCGTGACTTTTTTGCCTTTGTGGGTAGGCGTGGCCTCACAGACCGCCAGTTTGACAGGTCTGATTTAAAATATCACAATAACTATATAGCAGCTGCATATAATCCTGAAATCAGCGTTAATATAGCAATAGCAATAGCAGTAGACTTATATACCGCTTCATAGGCCTTACAGGCCTCTCTAAGCGGTTTACAGAGAGTCAGCATATTGCCCCCAACAATCTGGGTCCTCATTTTACCCACCTCGGAAGGATGGAAGGCTGAGTCAACCCATAAAATGCCTTTTCATCTAAATCAGGGGTGTCAAACTCCACTTCATTGAGGGCTGCATCAGGGTTGTGTTTGACCTGGGGGGGGCACGGGGGGCATGGCCAGTTCCACCACAAAACCACGTTTGACTAAAGCACGCTCGACGAAACCACGTAGCTGACGTCATCACAGCGCGAC